ATTTAATATCATTAGAATTAAATTGTGGTATTTAAATCGGGTAAAGAAAATACAAAAAGCATCTCTGTATAAGCACGATTCTCTCTCTCTCTCTCTCTCTCTCTCTCTCTCTCTCTTTCTTTCTCTAACAGCCTACGTAATTACTCGTTTAAAATCAACATCGAAGCGAAATGTTTGAAAAGTACCGAACGAGGTGCACGTGTACATTTCAGATATCTACGTTATAATTGAATTTACAGGACACTGTGGGTTGTGTGTGTACCATATAATGACTTCCTATTTGCCTATGATTACGTGTTTGCGCGCGTTTCGTACTCGAAGTGAATGTACACACAATGGAGAATATTCGATGCGTACGCAAGTTTTCTCCGTTTGTCCGTCCGTCCGTCCGTCTGTTTGTGTATACTCGTCGCCCAGAGATTTGTACATCGTTCGTTTATGTATTATATACAGACATATATATATATATTTTCAGACATTTCTACACAATACGAGAATGTTTCACGAGTTGCTTTCTCTATATATTTCTATGTGTATTTTCTCTCTCTCTCTTTCTCTTTCTCTTTCTGTGTATTTCTCTGTGTACGCGACCCGTATTACAATCCTGGTGAAAAAAGCCTGCGGCGCGAAACGTCAGGATCTCGGAATGAACGATGTTGCTCGATTACCATAATAATCCCTGTGTATCGTTCTATCAACTCACGTATTCCAACCGGAAAGATACGCCAGAGCGAATGCACCGATGCAATGTGGCGGCGATGTTTCGAAATGCCACAAAACTTCTTCAACCTTATATATACGGATTTCACTCTATATAATGTCTTCTCTATCTCTCTTTCTCTCTTACTATTTTATTTTCCTATTTTATTTCCTTCTCTTATCTCTTCTCGTCTTCTATCGTTTTCTTTTTATTTTGTATCTCCTCTTCCTCCTCCTCTTCTTCTTTTTCTTCTTCTTATTCTTCTTCTTCTTTTTCATCTATATCTACGTCTACGTCTACGTCTACGTCTACGTCTNATTCTCTCTCTCTCTCTCTCACACTCTCTTATACTATTTCTTTCTATCTTTCATGCTCTTTCTCTTTCTTTTCTTTCCTTCCACCCTCTTGTTTCGTTAGATCTTTCCTTGTCTTGCTGCCAGTCCAACTCGACTCGCATAAATTTATCGCGCTCATTAACTTGAAATATTGCATCGGCTATGTTTCGAGTTTATGAACGTTAATGCGAGCGCCGTATATAAGATCAAGAGGAGTCGTTCCTCACGCGATACGGGTTACCTCTCGAAGAAAATCTTACACGAGAACGATGGGTAGATTTTTTTTCTCTATTTCTTTTTTTTTCTTTTTTCTATCTATCTCTTTCTCTTTCTTTCTCACACACACACACACACGCATACGCATCTTTTCTTCTTTCTTCTTCCTTTTTTATCTTCTCATTTTCTTCCTCTTTCTTTCTCTCACAATCAGTATGGATTTAAAAGGATATCGCTTGGAGCGATCGTCGTGCTCTCGACGTTCAACTCGAACGATCGCGTCGTTATACGGATTAATGGACGTGGTTCTTCTTCTGCAACGATTCCTTCTTGCGTATTTTGTTACTAATTCGTTAGAACGTCCTTCGCGCATTCTCGTCCCGACAATGTTACCAAGTATATCCGATGCAATCCGCTTTTCTTACCTTCATGGTCTTATCTTCACGATTACGCTGATTTTTTTTTTTATCTATCACGTGAACACAAAAGTTAACGGGATCTTTTGTTTCAACATATTTGATTTTTATAAACGAATCATTCATTTGTATCTATCACTTGCGATAGGATTTTTCTATTATACATTTTACCCCCTTCGATTTAATCTCTGACGTGTTCAAAATTTAAATCATATATAAAAGAAAAACAGAAGAAACAAGAAAATAAATCCAAATTGTAGCAAAGATAATTATACAATTTTAATTAAATTGCCTAATCGGAAAATAAATAGCGATCGTCGCGAGGTAAATAACACGAGAATGGGGTTGGAAAGTATTGAATTTTGATTCAAATTCAATCTCAAATTATAAAAAAAATATTCAAATTAAAAATTTAAAAAAAAACAATAAAAATTTTCTTCTAATTATTAAAAATCACAAATTTGATCCTGAAGAGGATCGCTTCTAGTATTTGCTTCCTCGTTCTACGGGATAATTTAAATACATTTGTAATATCACTTTTTCGACGTATCCGAGATGCTTATCGTTACTCAATGAAATCGCTTTAATGTAATTAATGGACGAACATGAAACTCGATAAGGGTGTTCACATAATATCTGCGTCATCTAGCCGCTCGCTCGTGTTCTTTCAACGTTCCAACCATTTATAGTTATCTGCGATCTATGATAGTAAGACCGTTCTCGATTAGCTAATATTCCTATGTATCGAACTTCCAACATATAATAGGATCAAAAGAAAGATCCTATCGTCAATGATTGATTCTTTTCGGCTGTCTATTATCAATTAATTTGGGTTCCATTAAACTATCGTATACGATCTTTCAAGATATTAAGATGATCGCTATTTCCGAATTATATTTACATTTACCACACGTTTGAAATTCGCAACGTGATTCTACGTTATTTTAAATTCTGTAGGTAGGTAAATGTTGATAAGGTTGCCCTACGCTATTAAATATTTTATATTAATCGTAATTTTTGTTTCTTCAAAATTCGTTTGATAATTAAATATTTTTTTATTAAGCCTATTAAATTTGTTTTTAAAATATTTTATATTTCACGCGTCATTTGTTACACACGATATTGAATTGAACGTCTCGCTCGAATAACGCTGATAGCAAATGCTTTGATAATAAATTTCTTTTATTCCCTGAAATCTCGTCAATTCTAGATAAAAGTAGACTCTTTCTCTCTCTCTCTCTCTCTCTTGCTCTCATATTTTCAAGTACACTTCTCCTCTACCTAACCCCCCCGCCTCCATAAACACACACACACATACATATATTTAGTTACTACGGAGGCACCCGGTAGTTTGGTGAATTTTTAATTTATGCATCGTAAGTATCATCCGCATTGAAATCGACGTTGTTATACGTCTTCATGAACTGGAGCGTCCAATTTCTTTTTCGCCGGGCCTGTAATAAGTTTTCTGCTCCCGCCCGAGACGATACATTCTCCCTTCTCGCGTGGCATCTAAGATAAAAAAAAAAAAAGAAAAAAAAAATGAAAAGAAAAAGGAAAAAGAAGACAGAAAAAGATCCCTTTTTTCGCGTCCGAAGAATTTTATCGTAAATTGTTACGGCAAGAAACGAGACGCTTCTTTTTTATTACTAACCTTCGTGACTCGAATACACATACCCCACGAGGGTAAATGAGTGGGAACAAAATTGACCACGATCCTCCTTCGACGACATCGACGTTAGATTATTTCTAAACTTTATTACCGTCCCGTGTTAACCTTCAAGAAGCTAACGACAACGATAAAAGTCGTTGACACCTTTCTACATTTTCTAACGATATCGATTTTCGTACACTAAAGACCAAAAGTTCATATTTTTCAATTATTGAAAGTTAAGTTTTTTAAATTTTGTTATTGTTATATATATATATATATATAAATATTTGTTTTACAAATATAGAACATTAATTAGCAAAATTTGCTAAAGAATTATATTTTATATAACTTTGACATTCGTATCATATAATTTTTGCCATTTTTATGTTTTTATTAAAAAGAGACAAAAAAAAGTTATATTTTCGTTAAACATAAGATTGTATTTACTTGAAACGTTATGCATATTTCAATCGACGTATATTCCATGATACCCATAAAGTTTCTTGCATAAATACTGGTGCAAGTTTTAGTTACATATGTGATAATTCAAGTATAGGATAGTTTACGTTGACAGTATCACACTGTATTACATTGAATTATTACTAACAGCTATTAAGAAAAATAAGGAATAAAAAGTCGTTTTAAGCGATAGCAAGAAAACGTTTGATCTATTACATCGGTGTTAGTTCTTTCGTTTGGGTTCGTCGACTTTCGACTGACACCGACGATATTTCTTGCTGATAGTTACGAGTGGTTACGCGTATTGAGCGATTACCGTGCATGATAAACAAATAAACGAACTCGAACTCGGCAGCCAAGGAGATTAAGCGTGATCGTACCAGTTCAATTGAAGTCTTTCAAATAATATGCTTTGTAAAAAAAAAAAAAACAAAATTAAAACTGATATAATCTTATTAAGATTATTTATCTATCTTTAGTGAATGTATATAAAGAAGAAGAAGAAGAAGAAAACAGTAAATAAAATATCAGATAGTTTAACCTGTTGAAGGACACTGACACGTGTGTGTACATTTAATTACTTTTTTATATACACTAATATTAAAAATTTAGTACATGCATCCATTGTTTCCGGTTAACTGAATCACCACCGTCGATATGAAATGAATAAAAAGGAAAATCATTTTTTTTTACTTTGAAAAAATTTCTCCCCGCATAAGTTACAAATTCTTGTTTCTTAATCGAGTATGAGAAATGTGTATACCTAAGTGTCTACTAATGGTCTTGATAAAATCATTTATTAAAAGAGTCAACATTCGTGACTAAAAATATCAATTCAATGCCAGATGTAGCTATCACGAATAGTCTAATAAATTCTCGCGTGGGAACGTAAACGATCTCTCGAAGCATAATGTTCGTGTAAATGCGGAAAGATAAAACGTAATATCCGAGCAGGGACAAGCGCACGTCGACAACACGACATGACGGAACGTAACATAGACACGATGTGTGTTCGTTACTGGATCACGTATTTTAAACATGACGACGAAATCCTATATTAATATGCAAATACGATACCAGGACGATGAACTCGAACGATGTATGTAATTTCCAACGTTTATAAGAGACCATCGTTTAATACGATGTTATCATTTGTAAGATCATAACGCATCTGAATATTTTTCGACAAACATACGTTTGTTTAAAAACGTTTCACTTACCTTGGGGTCGAAGTTGAAGACCTGTTCAGGTCTAAGAGGACATTGGAGACCACATTTACAGGTTCCAGCTGTCGTCAGGTACTCCTTCAGTTGATCCAATGATTCTAGAGCTGTACTGCTCGGACTGTAACAAATGAAATGAACAAATTAGGTTAATAATATCTATATAAAATTTGAATAATTTTTCGATAAAAAAAGATCTGAAGGAAGGAAGGAAAGTGTTTAAATGGCGGAGGAAGAAGAATCATTTGGCAATTTATTAAAAAGCAAGAAAGTAAGGAAATAACCGTATTATGATTTAACCTACCGCTTCGATGAGGCGGAAGGAGACGGTTTATTAAGTAAAAGATATCTCGCTCGCGTTCACGTTGGGGGTCTATCAGAGAAATGGTTTGGGGAACGTTTATCGGCCTCGAACGAACGAGCCTAAAGCCAAGGGAGAGGATAGGAAAAGGAGAAGAGTGAAAACACAGAGAGAGAGAGAGAGAGAGGCAAAGGAAAAGAGAAGGGTGCAAGAAAGGGCACGAAAGCACCGACACCGGGAACGTTCACTCTTGGAGATGGTTTGAGCGAGCCGCAGCGAGGTGAAACGAGCCAGGTTTCTTGCTTGTATATTGATTACCCAATGGAGAGACAGAGAGACTTTGTTTCGAGGTACTTTGCAGCTTCCTAAACTAATAACCTCGGGCGTTTCATCCAGGGCATTATAACCCCCTGAGACCACCCTTCTTCCTTCTTCGTGCCTCGACCCTAACTCCTCCTCCTCCTCCTCCTTCTCCTCCTCCTCCTCTTCCTCCTTCTCTTTCTCCTTCTTCTCTTCCCTCGTCACGCTGCTTTCTCCTTTCCTTCTCTCTTCCTTCTCTTGCCTTATCTCTTTCTCTCTATATTCCTATCTTTACCTCTGTCTTTGTCTGTGTCTTTTTCGCGTACTCTAACAGCAACCCCATTCCAAAGGAATCCTCGAGGCAATTATTTCTCGCAACAAGACAAATTTCTAGCGCCCACCTTGTTACTAATTTGCGCCGTATTCGATTTGTTCCACTCGGAAATATATATTTGTACCTTTACATCATCGCGAATAAAACGCGAGTTATGAATTTCGTGCCTCGAGTTTCCTCTCGCGAGTTATTATAAAGCGAGACGCTGATATCGTCGTCCACCACTACTACCACCAACACCACCACCACCACCACCACCACCACCACTACTACCATCGCCTCTTTCTCTAATGATAAGAGGATTTAATTATGCGCGTTTTCAACGAATCTACCAGCTATTCTACATAGTGCTAATGTACTCTCTATCGGAATAACCGTTTGGAAGTTTCGTCGAGAGGAGTTGAAGTTTACTTTCCTACTTCATTCTCGATTATACATTTCCATTGTACCTACATATTTACCTGCCGAATAAATCAATTGTTTCCGACTTATTTTGTATGCGTAACGCTAACTAATATAATACTTCGCAACATTCGCTTTACGTTCAACGTTACGTTTTAATAGAATAGTCGAGGAAACTTATCTTCAAAAACAAAAAAAAAAGAGAAATAGAAAAGAAAAAATATATATAAAACAAGAAGAAAAACAAAAAGAAATTAATTAAAAAAGTAAAATATTATTCTTTAATATCATTCTCAATAGATATCGCAAAATTCTCCAAGAACGTGTAAGCGTATGGCAAAACAAAAAATCCCTCTGAAAGCTTATGAAATAGGGAAGAAAAATAGGGTTATACTTTTACAAATGGAAACGTGATAGAAGGATGCTGCTGCTGCTTTTGCTACCACCAGTAGCGGTTTATCTTTTATAGATAATGCAATAACGTTTTTCACGAAAGCACTTTTTTTGGAAGCTTCTGTCTACCCGAAAGGATACCACGATAAAATCAGAATGTAGTAGAACGATTTTGTAAGTAAAAGAGGTCGTCAAGCGTAGTTCCTCCCATTTCCTACGAAACGAGTCGCGTGAAACGCTTTGGTAGAAGGAGAAAGAGAAGAAGAAGAAGAAGAAGAAGAAGAAGAGTTGTTTGTAAGGTAGGGACGATAAAGCTCTCAAAATGAATAATATTTCTCTTGAGAGAAGGGTTGGTTGGGTGCTTGCTTGTCCTCTTAAAATAGATCTTATTTCTTCTGACATTACGTACGTCAGCGTTTTGTCCAAGTTTAGCGAGCCACCAACGTTGAAGAATATAAATGTACGTATAAAGATGAGAAAAAAGAGATAGAAAAGATAAATAAACATACGAGACAACCGCTAATTTAATTCTCCTCATTTAATAATGAATGTATTAGCATTTAAATGAATAAACAAGTTTAACAAATGCGATCATTAATAAGAGTCTTAACGTAGTTGCGTATGCGTGCGTTGTTTATACAAAAATATTCACCGATGATCGGTTTTAGAATTAAAATTAATCTGAAATAATGAGAATCATATTTTCTTATACTTTATATTATTTCTTTATTATTTTATTATTATTAAGTTTCTCCTTATAATAAATTTCTACAATAAGATATATCTCTTAAACGGACAATAAATAAACATTATCTTTTTCGAATATAGATACTCTAACTTCGTACAAATTATTCCTATTTATCTTAAATTCTTGGTAAATCGAAATCGATCGAATCGCAATGCTACTGTAATCACGATTTACCATCTCTTACCACAATGTTTATACTTGATATCATTGCATCTATTCTATATTCTTATTGAAATATTTAACGCGCTTTCACTAACAGCGAATAAATAACTCGAGGGTATTTTATCGAACGAAATCGACTATCCTCGACTCTTTCCTCGTTTCTATTTTCCCAGAGTTCGTCTCTCAACCGTATATATATATATATATGAGTGTGTAAGTAGGCGTAGGTATGCACGTGGGTGTGTGAGAGTATGCTCAGCTTATCGGACGATTTAAAATTTGAACGACTATGCAGAGGAATGGTCGAACGACAAGTATCGAGCGTCGCATCGCGTCAGTATCGTTTTATGGTTAATCGCTCTTTATCGAAGGTACTCGAGCGCAGTTTCGCAAACCTTCTCTATCTATCTCTATCTCTCTCTCGTATATGCTCGGCCGTCCGTAAATTATAGCTGTCATAAATTTATCCGCGATCGGTAATTATCGGAGTGAGCCATCCGTCGGAACGGGGCGCGAATAACGAGCCAATTCCAATTGGTAGCTTGAATCTATCGGGTATATATATATACACGTATATACACACATTTTATTACACTTACATTACTATATATATATATATATATATATATAAATACTTTTACATAGGTATACACTAACACACTAAAGATCAATCGATGATACTACGCGTCTCACCGATTTTCTATCCCCGTTTCGATTTATACCGATCGAGCAACCTTTTACCTTCTCTTCTCTTCTCTCTTCCCTATTCCCCTCTTTCTCTCTCTTTACCAAGCACACGTTCGATCTTTCACGGTTGCAATCAATTTCGCGTCGCTTCGAAATGCCTCGACTCGCTCGATTATCGCAGCTTTTATCGCGCGTTTATCGCGCATTCATCTCGCTCTTTCTCTCTACCGACTAACGTTTTATGTTCCTTATTATTATGATTTTTTTTTTTCTCTTTTTGTTTTCCTTTTTTTTTTCCATCAATTCTCAAAGCAAAGTCAGCTGCTGCCGCGCCGCCAAGAACGCCATAGACTTTTCAAAGGCGAATTATAATATAAACGACAAGTACGGGGATAGAAAAAGCGGTGAATATAATTCTTCGATAAATACCCCCCACCCCAGCCCTTTTTCATTGTAAAAAAAAAAGATCCGATCATCTTCTTTAGATAGATCAATTTTTGTTGTTATTATTATAATATTATTATTGTGTTGTAAAAGAAATGTAAACAACGAAGAAAATTGCGGTAGGATGAATCAACAGTCTTGAATCTGTCTGTTAAACTATTCAAACAGTCTTTAAATAATTGACTTAACGTTAATGTTCGAAATTGTTCTCGCAAAGCACAAAACAACACTCTCTTTAATTTGCCACGAAATCAATGATCCGATCCGAAAAACACCGGCGTGTGTTCGTGCGTCGATCAATTTTGGTGTTCATTACGGATCGAAGAGTGGGGTCTCTATTCGTGGCACGATACGATATTATCGAGGGAATAATTTTCGAACCACGAAAAGTGAAACGTTAACGGGCCGCGATCACGAATCGCTCGTTTCCTCTGTGGTGTTTTGCACTTTTGTGCATGCGAGTGAACTGGACGCTGAAAGAGTATAACGAGGGGAGCTAGCTCGTCTGAAGGAAAAAGAAGCCGGGCGAAAGATTCAGAGAGAAAGAGAGAAAGAGAGAGAGAGAGAGTGAAAGAAAGAGTGAGAGGGAGGTGAACAAGTCGACTGGAAAGTCAAAGCGGCGAAAGAAGGATAAAGGGAAAAGCATTTTACAAGTTGAATCAGGCACAGATTGCAGCCATTTACTAACATAAATTGCACGACAGGTAATCGTCTCGTGTGGAGAAGGGAAAGTCTCTATCGTATGTTCGCGAATAAAAAAAAAAAAGAAAAAAGAAAACCTTTCTGACAAATATCATCGAGTCGGTATATCGCTGTCGAATTTTAACGAGACGTTCTAACTTAAAATACGCAATAACGTTTTAAAAATAATTCTAAAAGGAATTGATACTTCTACGAAGACGAATAGAAAATATTTTTGAATCTATGGAAAATTTGTTTGAAATAAAAGTTAGTTTCCGTGTTAAAGATCAAAACTTTTTAACTAACTCACAGGGATTATTAACTTTTTTTCATCAATTTTCACAACGCAACGTTTACAAATATTTATAATAAATACATAAACGATATACGTCTATATGCGTATGTAGTAAAAGTAATAAAATGAAGAAGAAAAATATATAGAGATAAAAGAGGTAAGAAAAAGAAATAAAATTTCTTACGATCGAAACGATATTTAAAGGTCGAAAAGAAGGATAGGAATCTGGATTTTTACGAGATGTCGTACTATTTTCGTCGATGCATTCCAAATGAGACTATCCACCCTACATATGTACGCGTCGTGTAGATAACATTATCGTCTTAACGTTGCCGGTTTTACCGATAAAAGCATCGTGACGACTATAAGTGGAA